TCTACCAGTCATTTCTAACTCAACCCTAATTCAAATTTATAAATTAAAAAATAACAAAAAATAATTTACTCAAACAAAAAATTTGAAAGAATGAAAAATATGATTTTATGCGATCAAGAAAACATATTACAAATAACAACATTTAAAATTATTCTAATAAAATAACATACAAAATTTAATCAAATCTTGACATATTACTAAATTAAAATACTACAGAAAAACAATAGCCATGTATGTACTTAACTATATATTTAGTTCATATTATATGTATGCATATTTGAATAGATTAAATTGCTTTTATTTAGAATGATTATGTATGTAGCTTCAGTTGAAATTTTTTTTCTATGATACTTAACTACTTAGTAAAGAAGCTGAAGCTGATTGTCATTTTTTGTCAAAACTTCATTAAAGCAGTGGCTAATTTAACTGCCTGTTCTGCACAGTCATTAACCACTTTCATGGCGACGAACAATCTTACAAGCAGCCTTGTAGTCATCACAATTAGCCCAAGATTTAGGAGACGATGTCAAGAATTCTTTTGGTAGATTGAGAGAGTCAAACAAGTTCATTGAGCGTCGTATAACAAAGTTAGCTATAGAAAGTTTAGAGAATGTATAAATCTTGTTTGAAGCAAGTCTTCTATTGTCACCTGGTAATGGTTCTTTTTGTAAAGCATTTACAATTTCCATTTTCTCTTCAAAAGAAATTTCTTCACTGAATAATGGGAGAGCAGCTAGATCTTCACTTAAATACCATAATTGAAGTTTAATTTTATTTTTTGCAACATTTGCAACTTTGCTGTCAACTTGATAATAGTTCTCGATTACTTTTAAAAGAAGGAGATCATTTTTTGGTGCTTCTGTTGTGAGAGGTGCTGAAAACCAGAAACATACATAAATTGTGGTTATGAAGAGACAAATTCTTCTTAAAATCTTGACTTCTTTATCTGTGACATTTAATTGATGGCAAAAACCAAAAATTTTTAAACAGTATATTCCTTTAGCCATCCATCTTGCACGATAGTAAGCCCCAGGAGTGTGAATACTTGTTGTATCATTAATTTCTCCCAAAAGGAGAAGAGCTAGTTGCCCAAACTCTTTATAATCATCACGTGGTTGAGTGTCCTTTAAGTTTTTTTTTTAATTTTCCACCACATCGGATTTTCAAGATGCAAGCCACTCTTTTTCAAGCTTTGTAAGGCATCCAGTTCCGCTTGTATCACTTTCAAGTGGTTCAAACTTTGATTTTTCTATTAGCTCCCACTGGGACTTCGCTCTACCAAAGAGTTCAATGTTTGGTCCTTTTGATACAAAAAACGTATCAAACACTGCATTTGCACAGATTTCAAGAATATGATGTTGACAGGCTAAAAACAAAACTCTTCGGTTCATTGACTTCTGTATGACAGTTATTGCCCCATTATAATTTCCTGTATTATTTGTAGTTGTGTCAAAGCAAAGACCTGCAAGATGCTCCTTGACGCCAGGCCATTCATGAATGAACTCAACTACCTTCTGTCCCATCAGAGCACCAGTACCAGCAGGTATTTCAGGGATCCCTAGTAATTTCTCAATATCCAAGCCAGATACAACAATTGGCAGACATTCATGTCTGTTTCTATCAACATATGACAACATTTTACCATCAAAATGAGCAACTAGCGGAACCAAGGGTTGAAAATCTTTTTTTACTGCTGTTAAAAGAGATTCGCCAGATGTAGTTCGAGCTTCTATTAGAGTGGAATGTGATAATGTTAATTTATTTACATCAATACCGATTGCAGCTAGGGCTGGTGTGACAACCATCATTGCTTGTCGTGGTGTTATTTTTGTTCGGTCTAATGCTGCATGAAAGAGTTGATTATCAAGAATACAACGTTTGGATACTGTAATTGAGAGTTGACTAGTACCCATAGTAGAATGTTTTGAAATTTTTTGATGATTAAAAACTTTTTGTATTTAAATTGACGCATCACAGTCAGAATTTTCATCCAAAGAGTAATCTGAGTTGTCATCCATTAATGTTTCTGTAGATTTAACTTTACTTTCTTTATGTTGTTCATAGCGTCTTTTTTCTTCAAGCTTGCATTTTCTGTATTTTACAACTGCTTTCTTATACATTAGGTCTTCCGATGTCATTAACATCTTTCTGGGGCCTCTCTGGTCTATCAGAAGTTGTTTATCTTCATTTATCTTGATGAGACAATCCCATTCACTATGTGCAATATCAAAAAGTGTAGACATCTTGGTGGTGAATTTTTCTTCGTAGCTGTGTTGAGTAGCTGAACATGTTGCTTGTGAATACTCTTTAGTTTAGCAACTACATGAGGCTTTGCTATAGTTGGAATATTAGCCTTAAGCCAGAAAATCATAACTTCATCTGCAACTGTGTTGCAGGATGTTGAAAGAGTTGACTTTTTGACTATCATTTCATAAAAAACTCTACATAGTGCAACACCACTTGTTGGCAACTGACTCGGTCCATCTATTGTGGAGAGAATATGCCCAACTACACAAACATTTGAAGTTGAGCGTGTTGCTTTATTTGAAGCAGCCATCTTATGTAATATTTTTATACTTTTTTACTATAATAGAAAGAATATGACAGAAATTTAACAATTACAAAGTGCTCAAAGCATAATAAAAAAATTAAAAGTCTTAGATAATACCCCCGCCCCACATTTATTCCTAACCCTTTCCCACCCAACAATGGCCAAACATGTCATTACTATTATTAAATTTATACAAATTTAATTTCTGAGCTAAAGTTTACTTAGAAAAAGTTTACTTGAAATTAAAGCAAATAAAATGTTTTTGAAATCAAAATAGGCATTTAGATGCGATTTTGGGTAAATAATGCTGAGGGGGGTTAATCTAAATTTGCTTGTACTTTCCAGTCTTCTGTGAACTTCTATGTTGTAACATTATAATACTTTATATATATTATTTGTTTTTAGATCAATTTATAGCAGTATTTTCTATGAAATAAAAATAGAATTACAAGATTATGTTTTTATACAAATTTTGGTCAATTTAGGGTTTCAAAATAGGGTTTGGGGAACCACTTCCCATTTTCAGTTTGCAAAAAAAATTTAACTATATACTTTTTATAACAGACCTCACCAAATAAGAGGTTGTGCGATTTAAAATTTGAAAAAAAAAATTTTTCCATATAAAAAAAAACCACCCTATATATATATATATATATATATATATATATATATATATATATATATATATATATATATATATATTTATTTTATTTTTTTCCTGAAAGACACTTTATCACCTCAGTTTTGCAGCTGAATCAAAGTAATAAGTATATATAGCGAGGTTATCAGTAAGTTAGCAATAAGTATATATTATCAAAGTAATAAGGATATATTATGTGTATTTCTTCTCTTTTTAGTAAACTTGATGACACTGATGTTTAATTTCACCCTGATGTTCAGAGTCACCCCAATTGACAGTACATATTGAAAACTTGTCGCTGATATAAAAAATTTTAAACCTATAGAATAGACAGATAAGCATGAGTATCGTTTACCCACAAACCTTGTCCCTGTAAAGTGCATACAAGTTTTCAACATTGTTCATTAAATGAGAGAACTCATTTAATGAGCAAACTTGTTGCAAAATTGCATGCACATAGCATATGTATTTAATGTTTTAAGGTTGTATACATTTCACAAGGACAAGTCCACAGTCTAGTAAATTGTAGCATTTTTTTTTTTTTTTTTTTTTTTTTGCCTAACAAATTTTCACTTCCAGACTGTGAATAAAGTTTAGCAATTTTTATATATAGTGTTCTACTCATGGGTTTGTACTGAATTTTGCAGTTTATACCATTAACTTTACAAAATAAAGATTAATTTAGTTAATAGAATAATTTTTTTTTCCTTTATAAATAGTTAACTAATTTGCCCTAATATTTTAATACATATTTCAATAATATTTTTTAATATTTAACTTGCTATATGGTTTAAAAAATAATAAATTACCAGCTTTCTACAAAAAATTATTGATCGGTTTGGATAAGTATAAAATAATTCTGTAAGGAGTTCAAAATAAAAATTGTATTCTAAATACCATTTTATATATAAATGCAATGTATACAAGAGTATTTATAGTATAAAAGTTTGTTAATAATTTGTTAACAGAACACTGTGGAACTTTAATCTTTAAGCAATAGTTTATAAAAGCTTTTGGAGAAAAATTTTAAAATAATAAAATTTAAAAGGAAATTTGACTTGAAAAATTGACTTGTATCAATTTGAATTTAGTTCTTATTTATGAGTAAAAAAAAGTGAAATTTTTTTTTTAAAATAGATTTCAAATTATTTTTTTACACCATCATGGTCACCAAATAAACCAAAAGGTGATTCTTACTTTAAAAAATGTGGTGGTCTCCTCATTGCTTAGATTGAAATAGTATTATGTTTGGGTTTATCTTGATAGAACTAAGGCACATAGGTATCCAGAAAATGTCTTGATAGAACTAAGGCAGATAGGTATCCAGAAATGAGTTGTAAAACCTATTTCAGGAAGAATAGAACTATGTCCCCAGTGATTTTATTTAAAAAGTTTGATTAAAGTGTTGTAAAAAGCATTCTAAAAAATTATAGTTGTGTATCAAGATAAGTTTACCACATATTTATCACATAAATAAAATTATTATTATATCAAGTTAAATATACCACTCTTATATTTATTACATAAATAAAATTATTTATTACATTAATAAAATAAATATTCACAAATAAAGTTTACACATATTTTAAACCTTATTATGTAAAAATGTTGAAGGTGCATTATTTTTTGCACATGTGTTTGTGCGTGAGCCAGTATTTGTGTGTAAGTGTGTCTGTGTGAGCAAAAATATGTACAGTTACGAAGCAAGAGCTACTTTTTATTTTCTATTATATATCCTATTTTCATTTCATTTTCTATTTAAAGCTTGTATTGATTATTATTAGTTATAATTATTTTATGTATTTTTAGACAAGGTTCAACTTTAATTTGTATGATTGATGAAAAAGATAGTTTCACTCTAGATGCAGGAGAAATTAATGTTAGCTTGGATTTCTTTGCTTATTTGTACTTAGGTATGTTTATTTTAACAGTTTAAGTTTTTGGTATAATTTTATTTAAACATGCTTTCAAATAAAAATAGGCGCTAAAAATCATTTTGTTTTTTTACTTTTTAAATATCAAAAAGTAAATATATTTTCTTAAAAAACTTTTTTTTAACAAAAAGACTAAATCTCTACAACTAACATGTCAATAACTTAATGTTATTTTTTTTACAACTAACATGTCAATAACAAATTCACTTAATGTTATTTTTTTAATCAGTTTAGTTTTATCAAAAGAAAAGCACACCTGAAAAAAAAAGTCAAACATTTGAATTGATTTTTGTTTTATTCTCTTCTCAACCCAATAGTTCATAATAATTTAGGTAGTGTACATGTTAGTTTGACAGTCCTTATAAAAAATTGCATAAAATTGCTTATGATGACCAGTTTAGCTACATTAAAAGCTTTTGTAAATATTTGATAAAATTTAAAAGTTTAAATCTAAAAGAACACTAAATAATAGGTATGAAGGATGGCTCCATCATAGTATGGCTCCATAATCAGTAATAAAAAAATAGTAAGAAGAAAATACTCTAAAAACATTTAAAATGACAGATAGCATCCAACATCATGGAGGATCCAAAAGGTTAAAAAAAACTAAGGAGCACAAAAACAGTCTTATATTTTGTCTTATATTTTTGTAAAAGCCAATCCAAGGTTAAGTTGTTGTACTTACAAACATATTCAGCAAAAGTCGTAATAAATGTCTCACCTATACAGAGTTGCTAGAAAACTACATTGTTTTATCAGTAGACATGCTGATTAATTGAATTTAATGGTGGTAGTTCCAAAATGGGAATGCATCTGTCCACACAGCTCGTACAGTCAAAGCAGGAGAAGAGTTCCAACTGAAATTTAAATAAATCAATCAAAAAAGAGGTCTAGCTAGCAAAAAATCATGTGGGGAATATTTAAAATATTTAGATATAGCATAGTTTTTTTTTTTGTTATTATGTTTTATATAGTTTTTTATATATAATTGTATGTTTTAGTCATTTAAGGGTGCAAGGTTTATTTTACAAAAATTTTTCTTACAAGTAACTAAAAAATTATTTCAATTTTTTTAATGATAATTTAAATAAGCTTTAAGCAACGAAATCTTAATTTTTTAAAGCATTGTGTGTGTGTGTGTTTATATATATATATATATATATATATATATATATATATATATATATATATATATATATATATATATATATATATATATATATATATATATATATATATACAGCTGTGAGCATGAGCAGTAGTAAAAAATTATTCATATTTTGATTATTGTTCACCTTCTGCATAATATAGTAAGGCTAATTTTTCATTACGTGAATATATTAGAAAGATGTATATATTAGAAAGAGAAAAGTAAGTTAAGCAAATGAGAATTCAATACATTCAAGAATATACCCTTATTTTTGATAAATTTTTTGTAACTGAGGAAATGCATTAAAATAGGTTGTATTAATTTTTAAGTTAATTTAAAAAATTTTAAAAGATTTTTTTAATTTTCATAAGAAAAGTAGGTAATATTTCAATATAATATATTCTTTATTTATTTGTGTATGCTCAATGGTAAAATAGTTTTCTAAACACCAGCAGAACGTAACATTACTCATACATCCAAAATATTTTTGGATGCTCTGCAAAGATGGTTTCAAGTGCCATAAATCTCTATATATTATTTCCGAACTTAGTAGTAGTAGTAGTATTAGTAGTAGTAGTAGTAGTAGTAGTAGTAGTAGTAGTAGTAGTAGTAGTAGTAGTAGTAGTAGTAGTAGTAGTAGTAGTAGTAGTAGTAGTCAAAGTCAAGTTTAACTCAAATGGTAAATTTTTTTTCGATTATTTTAAAATACAAAATACTTTTGAAGTTTTATAGAGATTATATTCAAACATATGTTACGATATTATACACTTTAATGAACAAAAAATTTTTAAAAAGCTAAAATTTCTTAAAACATTAAAACAAAAAATTTGTTGCATGATTGAGATTATGATTGAGATTAATTAATTAATCCTAATAAGCTGCAGATGGTCTGAAAAAAAAGTTGTCTGTAAACTAATAAATAAAAAACTTTTTAAGACAATCCTGCTACTCCAGAAAGTGATGCTGTGGGGGCAAAAAAAAAGCCCGTAGCTAGAAAAAAATTTAAAACTTTCTTTTGATAATTAAAAGTTTTTTTTGTTAATTTTTTTTTTTTTTACTATAAATATATGCTGCAGCCGTTTTTCAAAACGCCTTAATATACTTATTACGTATTTAGAGAAAAACATAAAAAAAAATTATAAAAAAAAATTAAAAATTAACTCTTTATAAAACGTTTTTTGAAACAAATAATTTTTATGAATTTTTTCAGAACTCTTTAATAATATGTATTCAATAACCTTTGTAGGCATCTAAACAAGCTTAATTTGTAAAAAAGTTAAAAATGATATTTTTTACCTTTGCCAAGGCGTTTTGAAAAATGGCTGCAGTATGGATGATATAACGATTTTGTGGAAATGAGATAATTTGAAGCAAAATTTAAAAGCTCTTAACAAAAGCCACTAAACCAAAAAAATTAAAAGTATTTGCAGTTCAGTACACTTAAAAATTTTAATATAGTGTGTTGGTCTTTGCAAAGAAACATTAGGTCAGGTGACTAAAAATGAGCAATTGCTTTTACTTAGTAAATGGTCAGCTTTACATAAATAAAAACTTAAACAATTTTGCTTAAGTTTTTAATATAAACTATCTTTTTTAAAACTTTGTTGCGCTTAACTATTCCTATAAAAACATTGTATATATAAACAAATATGTTATTTGTTTATATATATTGTTTATAAAATGTAAAAATCTACTTATATAACGTTTTATTCAGGATCGTATCCCAGCGGGCACGGCAACGTCCATATGACGTCGAAAGGACGTCTTTTTAGGACGTCCGGAACTGGTTCTAAATGGTAACGCCAGATGACGTCTTTTTAAGACGTAATTAGGACGGAATAAAGACGTGTTTTTAGACGTCTAAAAGACGTGAATTTAGGACGTTCAAAACTAGTGCTAAATGGAAACGCCAAATGACGTCTTTAAATAACCTAATTTAGACGTTCTCATTTTGACGTCTAAAATACGTGTTTTTACATGGCTTTACTTAAACGTAAGGTTCAAATTTATGTTTTCACAGAAATTCTTGAGAATAAGAAAAAAATAATAAATCATTTAAATTTTTTAATAATATAATTGTGCTGAGTTTTATAAATTACAATTTTGTAAACTTCTTCTTCCACTTGTTAATTTCCAAGAATCGAATTTTCGAACAGTTGACGTAATTCACCTTCTTTTCGATCAGATGCACTCTTTAAAATATTGCCACCAGCATTTTAAAGTTTTTTTTTTGCTGTAGGAATCAGGGAAGCAGTCTTAACCTTAAAAAATATTGTCAAGATAAGTATGTAAAAATAAAGGGGAAATAAATAAATAACACACACACACACATATATATAACTATTATTTTATAAACATAACATCAACCATCAAAAAATACTAGTTTCTCAACACTAAATTTATATTTTTAAACAATTTTTGACTGGATTGTTGTGACCAGCGTATATATTTATGTATATCAAGTATGCAATATAATTGCGGTATTAAAAATACTCTTTTTATAGTAAAATTATACTTACTTTGAAAGCATGCCCTTCTCAAATGCACTGCATGATGAGCCACCAACATTTAACAACTTCCATTTCTAAATTCAAAAGATAACACTAGTGTAATTGATATGGGACAATTTAGTGTAAGTTATTACTGTGCACAAGTTATTATTATTGGGCATAGGAGCAATTCATTTGTGTTTTAATCAATATAAAAATTTTGTGTAAATTTTGTTTATTTGTAAAGTGAGCATTATGTATATAATTACAGATCAAAATTTTTTATGTAATTTACCCTTATAAAGAAAACTAAACATTTAACCATAATAAAAAATACACCACTTTTTGCAATATTTGATTCGAGAAATGATTGATCACATTCAAGAAACTTGGCGATAGAATCACACTAGTAAGGATCAAAACTATTCTCAACTTTAAACGTTTTTTATATTTCATTATTCTTAAGATAAGTAAATGAATGAAAGACTTAGTTAATTAAAAAATAATATGCTCTTATAATTTATATATATATATATATATATATATATATATATAAATATATATATATATATATATATATATATATATATATTATATATATATATATATATATATATATATATATATATATATATATATATATATATATATTACATCTTCGCCTCCAACAAGGCTGCGAACAACCACTATAAGAGTTTGGAAGTTATTGGAAGAGAAAAGATTAAGTTCGTAGAGCAAGATAACGATTGACAGATGACTTAAAAGATTGCAAATTATATAAATCAGGGAAGCAAGATAAAGCAAGCGAATTCCAAAGAACTGATGTTCTAAGAAAAAACTAGCTTTAGAGCAGTGCCCATTATAGTATTTGTAGAAAAGAGAAAGAGAAGCAACATCACGACGATGTGATAATGGTTGGAGATTGGCTGCAAGAGCAGGTCCAACTATGTTTACAATGCGTTTTTGCACCTTGTCTAAAAGAGAAAGGGCATCATTAAAAGATCCACCCCAGATATGGCAACAGTATTCCATACAGGGACAAATTTGAGATTTATAGATAGAGAATAGAATCTGGAGTAAGGAAGTATCGCGCTCGATAAAGAGATGCAATCTTAGCAGATGCTAATTTTGCAATGGATTTGATATACGGTTTAAAACAAAGATCAGAAGTAAAAGTTAATCCTAGAAGATGAAGGGTAGATGACTCATCTAGTACATTACCATTCATAAATATAGGAAGATCTAAATTATTGTGATAACAATTGGCAGGCTTGGTCGGGAAGCGGGAGCGATCGCTCTCAAATACTGACCACAGAAATTAAATTTAGTTGCGAAAAACT